GCCCAACCCCTGGCATTCACTGCAGACAGGACATGAATATTATGCCTAATTAGCCCAGCCTCAGCTGAGCTAATCAAAAGCAGAAGGGTAAATAAAAATCATCCAATTGCATGAGCTGGTTAATAATTGGCTGTTCTGGGAGTTTTCTTCGTAATGGGAAACACAACGCCATTTTGTGACTCTCTGGCACAGGAGATTGAGGGTATGACATGAATTTAAAGATGAAGATCACTTTGCAGTTGCCTCCCAGACTAAAACAAAAAAGAATTAATTCTGCAGAGTGTTTTTTGGGGATTTCCCATTGGGACAAAGTGATCACATGAAGTCAAAACGTTGCTTGTCTAGACCTGTATATTATTCAATTTATTGGTCAGTAAGGCTGAAATCCATCAACAAAATCCTATTTTAAAATTTGCTTTCTGAAATATTGATTTGTTGCTCATTTATAGAGATATCTTATGAAATCAAAATTGTAGTTGATTGGCTTAAAGACCATTGATATGCTAGTGTACTTCAAAAAGGCAAGATAGAAAAGCAGTGTTTAAAAAAAAAAATATATATATATATATATAGTATAATATTTGAAAATATTAACATGTTCTAAAGATGCTTTTTAGATAGATAGATAGATAGATAGATAGATAGATAGATGTAATAAATCATAAATCATATTTTATAACATTTCTAATATTTTATTCATATTTTACATTATTTTTGTCTAATAAAAGGCTCGAAATAAACTGTTCACCTAATAATGACAATACTGGACCCCACATTCACTGTATGAACTAAAAAATTTCTTTTCCAAAACATGGTTCAAAATATCTTCTTTTATGTTCTACGAGAAATGCATACAGGTTTGGATGGCAGAATTTTCATTTTGGGTGAACTATCCCTTTAAGCAATACTGTTGAGCTCAGCAAATTGCTTCATTTCACTCAACATTAAACTTCACAGAGCACCAGATATGACTGCATGGATGTTGACTTCTTTTCTCTGGGTGAGAAATATAGGAATGAGTGTTTGGGGAGACTGAGAAGAGAAAAGTGAGATGAAGCAGGAGGTAAATGTATGAGCAATGTTCATTACAGAGTCTTGTGTCCGTGTGTGCTTGTAATACATGATGATGGGTATTTACTGATGTGTGGCATCAGTTATCTCCTGAGAGACGAGCAGCTGTTTCCTGCTAGTCATCCGCTGGTGCTCTGGCTGGGACTCAGCGATAACCTCACAGATCATTGCAGTCAACATGCATCCTCCCTATGCGCCAGAAAACAAATAGAAGCATGAAAACACAGTTAGATCTGCTTTATGTGATTACAATTAAAACTTCCATGAGATTAAACAGGCCACTGCGGTGCACAGTCCTTCATGAGTCTCCAATCTTCATTACCATCGTTGACGCTAATTACAGTGGGTAGCTTTCATTAGCATTGGTGTAATTGGGTAAATCTCATGGCAACATTTCCAGCTCATATTTCACCCCAAAATCAAAAGAAAAAAAAAGAAACTGCATTTTGCATAATTAAATCAAGCTTATTTTTATAGGACTATTTATGAGATCATTTTCAGGACCTTTTAATTTTGTGTTTTAGTTTAATTATGATTGTGAATCTTTGTGTTTTTTGATGATTCTCATACTTTATAATGTAAATAATATTTTTTCACTTTACTATTACAAATGAAATGGCATAAACCATTACATATATAAAAATGTAATTTAATAATTATAATATACTAATTAAAATTAAAGTTAAAATATATGAATTTAATTTAAAATATATTAATGCAATATAAATATATATATACAATAAATACAATTTAAATTCAATCAACTTTAACAATATAAATATAATAATACACTATAAAAAATATAAAGCGCTTAATGTATTAATAACATTTTACATATTTTATTCATATTTTCTCAATTTCTTAATGAAATATCAGGTTTGTGATAGGTTTCATGACATGACATTCTTGCAAATAAGACAAAGCATATTCTTTTCAGTCGTACCAGTTTATTACAGTGCCATATGGAAACTGATGATTAACATGCAATGACCTTGAAATACATAACTGACAATTCTCACAGGAGCATAACCAGAAATTGTTGACTAGACAATGAACAAGTATAGAAGCCAAAATGGCTCATAGCTATTTGAATGAGAACGTAAGTCTGTGAAAACACGTACATCATTCAGAATCAATGGACTGAATCAATAGACTTTCTGCACACACCACTGTAAAGCACCACACAGGCGAGAGACAAAGAACCAGGCATCATGGGAAACATTTAAAGGTACTTTACAACAAATCACTTTGACAGCTCATTGCCGCCGTATTCAGAGAAAAAAAAAATCTCATCTGTGACGCAGTAAATGTTTTGAACACCTTTATGAGTTTTCTGAAAGTGTGGTTTGTTATAGATATGTTACCATGATGACTGAGGTTTGCTTGAGCTGAAGTGAAGCCAGATCAAGATCTGTGTCCTGTTTCCCACACTCCCAGAGGGTGAACTGTGTCACGAGCTGTTATCTAAATATTTGCATACTATGATATTTACCTCTTTAAAAATACTTGAGTTCCCACAACCACACTCAAGCTAAGTGAGATTTCAACTTTCAGTAATGGCAACAATCTTTCTGATAAAATAAACAGTTTTGTTTTTTTTGAGCGATGTGGGGTTGAACCTCATACCTGCTGAATGGTTAATAGACTTTTGGGGAGTTCTGTTTTGCTCTTATCAGATGTGTGTAAATCCAGTGTGCTTCCCCTTGAGCCACACACACGCCATGTGGCGTACTGATCAGGACTGAGGACGCCTATGTGCTAGGAGTGAATTTACTAGTCTGCACAAATGTTTTTTAGGTAAGTGGTTGCAAACAATTTATTTTAGCTACATTTAAAAAAAAAATGTTGAAAGTTAGTCAACTAAATTTATTTAAATGTAGCTAAAATAAATTGATTGCAACCACTTACCTTAAAAAAAATTTGTAAATTCAATTAATCATTTTTTTTTTTAGTTCTATCTGCACTGGCACAGTACTGCATCCTTTATATGTAAATTAGGCTTGGATCATTTTTTTTCTGAGAAGTCAGTGCTATTTAACTGGTGCATCCAATGTTGCACTTTTACAGTCCACAGAATTATTTTGCATAATGTTTTTATTATTAATTCAATAGTAAATTCCTGCTACTCAAAAAATGCTTTAAATCCCATGATTTTAATGGGAATGGTGTGGCACAGAGGACATATGCAAAAGTTTAAGATCTGTTATACCAGGGATATTCCTGGGACATTCCCAATCTCCCTTGCTCACCAATAAATCCTCTGCAGTGAATGGGTGCCGTCAGAATGAGAGTTGAGAGAGAGAACATCTGATAAAAACATTACAATAATCCACAAGTAATCCATACATCTCCAGTCTATCAATTAACGTCTTGTGAAGCATAAAGCTGCATGTTTGTGTGAAACAAGTCCATCATTAAGATGTTTTTAACTTTAAACCAATGCTTCTGGCTAAAATATGAGTCCTCTATCCAAAATATTGCTTTCTCCAGTAAAATGTTGTCTTGTCTGAATCAGAAGAGAAATATGCACAGATCAAGCACTGTTTACAAGCTAAAACAGTCAAAACTGTTTTAAATATATTTGTGTGGATTCTGATATGAGAGAACAACAGGGAATGGACGTTTTCACTGTAGGAAGCGTTATTATGGATTATGAACTGGTGTTTTGCTGAGAAGTGATGGTTTAAAATTAAAAAGCCTTAATGGAGGATTTGTTTCTTACAAACACACAGCTTTTCATTAAGATATTAAATTGATGGACTGGAGTCGTGTGGGTTACTTGTGGATTATTGTGATTTTTTTTTTAATCAGCTGTTTGGACTCTCATTCTGATGGCACCCATTCACTGCAGAATCTTCAGGAGATGTTCTTTTTTGGGTGAACCATTCCTTTCACAAGTTCGCACTTACATATAGTCAGATGAAGCAAACAGTATATATTTGGCATACTGTCTGAGGGGAGGGCTTCAAGCTCGAAATTTAGCCAGAGAATTCCCCCATATCCCAAGCTGGGATGGGAATAGTTAGAAATGAGGAGTTGGGGTGGAGGAGGGATGCCAGAAAACTGTCGTGGGACAAAGGTAAGTTGTCTATATATACTTACTGTTGTGCTAACTGAGTTGATTATCAGAACGTGCTCCACCTGTGCTAAATTGGTTGATTATCAGAACGTGCTCCACCTGTGCTAAATTGGTTGATTATCTGAACGTGCTCCTCTCAAACTTTAATAAGACATAATTCAATCTCTTTAGTGTTTAATATTCATTATTTTATTTTATTTTAAAATTGTTAATGTATTTTAATTTAACATTTTTATAATTGTATTAATTATTTGTTTTCACTCACTGCAGTTTCTTCATAAACCTCCAGGGGTTTACAAATTCGAGTTTGGGAAAACCCTTGTTATGCCACCAAATGTTGAGAAACTTTTTGCTGCAACAACGTAGGTATCCGTTCACCAACAAAAAAGTGAGTGGAGTTATGCTTGATTTCAGACTGGCATGGCTTCTTTCACAACCTCAATCATGTTACTCTAGCGTGTAGGCAGACCAAGGATTAAAACGCAAACTCATATTAACACATATAATTACATTCCGAAAAGTGTGATTGCGATAAGCTGTTTCCTTTTATGGTCAGTTTAGGTCAATTGCTGTCATGGTGCTGTCAAGTAGCACTTTGAAGAAAATATTGTTAGCAAGCAAATTTATCACAGCACTGTAATGCAAGAACAGTAAATATGTACAACAGGACTATGTGCAAGCAATGCACTAGACAATCATTTGAGTGTGTGCATACTTGTTAATGGCCTCAGGGAGTGTATGCATGCTTTATTTCTTTCTTTATTAAGAGGCATGAATCCTGAACAGGTTTGGGCAACATTCAGAATTAAAGAATTGGCTTGCTTTCAGTTCATAAGTTGGAATATTATTATTTTTTTTTTTAAACTGTCAAGCCAACACTCAGATTTTGTCTTGATAAAAATAGCTTTTCTAGTTAAAAATATTCAGTCATGTGTATTATTATTATTATTTTTTGTATTCATTTTAATTCTACTTCCTTACATTCAAATCGAAAATGCAGTCTGCATTCTGTTTGCCTATATCATTCAAATTCAGGAACTGAAATGGAATTTAAAATCACACACAATCCTGCTTCAGACTCTGTTCTTTTAGTGATTAGCTCCTTTTCGCAGTGCGTTAGGACGGATATGATGTGATTACGTTTAACAGACAATTTCACAACATAAATTACATGCACAGACAACACAAGTCACATTATTTCACAAGTACATTCAAGAGCTTCAAAGGCACCGTAAAACAAGTATCTTGACACAAAGAATAGGTCTGTAGCTACTGAACGGTACCACGCATGTCGTCACGCTTATATGCTTATGCTAATTATATACAATTATGTACAATCAAAATCTCTCACATGAAAGAAATGACTAATTACCACTGAATCACGTCAGCCTACATATGTATGAAGACACATATATGTCACTGACTTACTGTTGTATCAACATAAATTAAAGCGCAATAAATGTGTTGATAATATAAATACAAGCAGGCAGCTTTCATATGTAACACTTGAAGAACTGCTTGACTTGAAATGCAGGAAACCTCGTCACATGATTCACTTGACAACAAAAGTGTCCAAAGTGACATACTGCATAGGACAACATGCCATTTAACCTTTGACCTGTTTGAAAGCACGACCCTCCTAAAAAGGAAACCTGGATGAGCAATGATTGTGGAACGGTAGCTTCAGGACAGTTCCTCTGTCTTCAGACAGTCCAAACACAGAATAACCTCTTCCAAACTGGAATATCCTCCATGACTGAACGCCCACTCAACATGCCTTGAACAATTTTCATGTTCTTCTGGCGATCGCAGTTGACAGGGCCCTCGGTCTCAAAACAATTATTGTAGTGGTTGATGGAACATAACTTATCCTTTTGACCTCACAGTTGGCTTTATCTCACTCAGTTAAAAGAGAATGCTATCAAAGAACTTAATCATAACCTTGTCTTCCAAAGCATATTGATTTTTAGATGGATCTGTCCAGTCCATAAATATTGTCCTCATCACGTCAGATCATCTGAACGGTTGACTTGTTGAGTTGTGTGGTCTCCACAGTGGTGGAAGTGGGTTGGTACAGCTCGATTTGTCCTGCTGGGTTTTTGGAAATGGATGTTTTGAACAGGGAGTTTCTGGAGGGTATGAAGCTGGTCTTCCACAGCGCCCCCCACAGGAAGCGCAGAACCGAGGGGCTGAGGATGATGAAGACCCAGGGGTCGATGATGGAGTTTACCGAGAGGAACCGCAGAGCTATGAGATCAGTCTTGTTGCTGCCTCTAGGCTTTCCCATGGAGTTGATGTACACGCGAATCTAGAGAGAAGAAGAAGGTAATTCAGAAGTGTCATCCATCCTTAACCACACATGGCACTTTGACAGATGATGCTGTCATAAGCACTGATTATTCCAAGCACAGTGAGATTTACCAAAGAAAGCAGAGAAGCATAAAGACATATCTGTTTTCAATAAATCCGATATCAAATGTCAAGCAGGAAAAAAATTATATTTATTTTTCAGCGCAAAATAGCAACAACTGCAGATTTGAATTCTGCTCAGTCTAGATGAATTAAGTTCACTTTAATAGAAAGAATGAACAATAGAGAGAGAGAGAAAATGAATGAACGAACGAACGAACGAACGATAGATAGATAGATAGATAGATAGATAGATAGATAGATAGATAGATAGATGGATGATAGAACGATAGAGAGAGAGAGGAAATGAATGAACGAACGAACAAACGATAGATAGATAGATAGATAGATAGATAGATAGATAGAATGACTGATCGAACGAACGAACGATAGATAGATAGATAGATAGATAGATAGATAGATAGATAGATAGATAGATAGATAGATAG